TAACAGCATCTTATATGAACCAATCCCGGCTTTGTTTTCGAAGCGCGAATTGCAAATTTTGAATATGGGCCGACAATGTTCTTGCCGGAGAATCGGAGAAGCCCATCGGAGTCTTCGCTTTCACTAATGTAGCGAAGGTATTTGTTGTTACGTGTGGATTTGAGGGAGAAATTCCTGGGGATTGCCTTTGCAATGGCTTCGTCATCGTCGTCGGAATCAGAATCGTCTCCCACAGCTCTGTTTTCATCGTTCATTAACTTCTTCTCTGCTTCATCTATATCGTTGTCATTATCATTGTCGTCGTCGTCAAGTTGGTCGAAACCTTGTTTTGGGTTATTTTCATTCTTGTCAAATATTTTTTCTCCGAAGTCCTCAGTTTTCTCGCCGATGTTTTCAATGGCCTGTCCGGTAGCCTCGACGACAGTGCCAATGCCACCGACGATCGGGGCCTTCTCGGCGACGTCCCCCACAGTTTCGACCAGCTTACCGGCTCCTTTCATAACTCCCCCGAGAGTGTCCGTCCCGGCTTTGCCTAGTCCTCTCAAAAGGTTCATCTTTTTTGGTTCTTTTTGTGAGTGGTATGGTGATTTTTTGGTGGAATTGGGGGTGGATTGAAGAGGGTGTTTATATAGGGTAATGGGATGAAGAACAGTGGTATGGATTTTGGGTGGGTGTCCATATAATTGGTGATGGGGCAAGTAATAATGCATCAATCATTATTACTCTCCAAATCCTCACGTGTAGAAACGTTAAGGCCAAGAGTGGACTTTGGGGGACCTCTCACCCATTGGATATAATCACCATTCATATAATTCAAAAAATGACAAAACAACGCAGCTGGCTACTTCAATAATTGTAGATTTCATTTTGTTTTTTTCTATGTAATAAAAGTAGGGTTTCAAAACTCTTTTTAAATCCTTATAAGAGGAGGAACACGGAATTTAATTTCATATCATATCATTGTGGAGCATATCACAATATTATAATGTGGAGAGTCGTGTTCATCTAACAATGGAGAGAGTCGTGTTCATCTAATAATGGTAGATTTCATTAAGTTTTCATTCTCAATTTTTCTCCTGAATCGGGAGAATTATGAGGAATTAGGATTTGAAATTCTAATAAGTTGTTTTAAAGAACATTTTGCACAACTTTTGTGAAGAAATCTCAGAGTAAAACGTGTCACGTGTCAGAAGATGGAGTTTCAACGAGCCTTAGTTTTTTTAGTTTTTAGTTTCTTAATCTACTTTGATTACATTTATTTTTCGGAATTGAGTTCAATTGAGTTACTTAGAAAAAGTTAAAAAATCCAAAAATAAAAAAAAATAGAAAAATAAAAAACGGAGGAACCTAGAATACACATGTTTGAATCACGTCAAACGTCAAAGGAGGATACACATCGTCTATCAAAGAGGGAAACTCATCTTTGCCACGAAAGCTCCGACGACGCTATACTCACGAAACCGGCGTCGAAACCACCAAGTTTTGCCACGAAAGGGATCACCGAAGAGTGTACGCACGTAGGGGGTAAGTTTTCCACACCTTATTCATGTTGTCGGTCGTCAAAAGGAGAACATTTTTTTTTTTTTTTTTTGGAAATTAAATTCTTACAAATCTATGTGTTTTAGGCATATTTATCATCCATAAAACAACGAGGGAGGTGAAAAGGAATAAAAAAACGACGAAGAACAAAAGGAAAATGGCGAGAAATAAAGTCGAAACGGCGTTTAGGGAAGAGAGAGAAAGTTTGTCGAGAAAATCATGTGGAGTAGACGAAGTCCATGAACTTTCGATCGGGACGAATCCAAATCGATACCCAATGGCCTGCATAACCCATAACCCATAACCCAAAATTCATTCGGCACACTAAGAGAGTTGTATTATTTGATAATGAAAATGGAAAAAAGTTGGGACCACATGGATTATTGTGTGTTCATGCATCGGGGATACCCTTTACTCTTCACGATAGTACGGACACGTACGTTACGAGGCAGGGGAATGATCATTATGTTTATCATAATGTTGTTGTGATGGTTGCTATTCCTAATGGGTGTTCAACATCAACAGCTAACAGAGAATGATCATCCGACCAGCAAGAGGTGTCGAATCGACTGATGAGTCCATATCGCATGTGTGAAAGGAAAATTAAGTACTCATCCAAATTGTTCGTTAGGATAGCCACCATAAGAAAAAATAGAGATATGATAGGTCCCATTTCATCAAAATGTGTCTTTGCATTTAACACCAATAGTGGGTCACGTGTTACTTTTATATGTTACTTTTATATGAGGTAAAGACAAGACATTCTTGTACAACTAACGACGACACTACAACTCAAGAATATGCAAATGGTAGATGCATCTATTTTCATAGACTTTAAAATAGAATGTTTTTTTATATAAATGTTTATTTATTTTATTTAGTTTTTCATTGTGTTGTTTTAAATATGTTTTTGAACACATAAATCTATGATAGTGCTTTATGATAAATTTTATGTTTAATGAAGAAGTTTAAATGTTAATCTCTACATAGAAATTGATGGTGTTAATATAACACATGCGGAAGCAATTTGGATCTTAGACACTTTTAAAACATCAATTATATTAAATAACTAGCATGCTCATAAGTATTAAAACTTAATGAGTTTGAATACTAACTTTTTGTAGTTCAAATTCCTTTTTTCTCACGAACCGGTTTCGAACCACCACTAGTGTCTTCTCCACTATCCTCTGGCCTTAGAACGGGATTGTGGAATCCGGTGAGTGACTAAACTTGGAGGGATTTTGTATATATGAAGAAAGTGTTTGTGAGAGGTTTTTCTCAAGGTTTTTCACCAAGAAAACCTTTCATGTATTATAATCACTCTAATTTATAGAGTCATGTTTGCATGTTCTTGCAAATTTGAGATCACCAAATTTTGAAACTCAAATTTGTGGGGTTTATTTGGCGAGCAGGCAAGTTTGGTTAAACCAAATTTTGACACCTCAAAATTCCATTAACATGGATTTTTCCATTAAATGAAGTCAACATTTTAACTTTCTTCATTTAACAATCAATTTGACTTATTAATTTCAAATTAAAGTAATATTAAATGATTAATTAAACTATTTAATTAATATTTAATATTAATTCAAATGTCAATCTCAATTAATTCCGACACATATTTGATTAAGATGTTTAAATCTTATTTAAATATCTCAGATTCTCTCTTTTTGTTTAATTCGTAAATAAAACAAAAATGCGGTTAAATATATCGTATATATGTAGCACATTCTCCCTAATTTGAATTCGAACACTTCGAACTCACTCGTCACACTGTTCTATGGTTTAGTCCGATATGAGCTAGCAAAGGAACCTAATGGACCTATAGATCATGGGCTCCAACGATCCAAGATTAACCTGTTAAACTCATTAATCTTGTTAACCAACATTCGTTAACTACTAGGACATTCCACTATAACCTAGTAGTTGCACTTCCCTCACTATAGATATATTTCTGTCCATTTGATATAACCATGATTAGTAAGTCGATCCTTCACAGGTTGTTCGTAACTAGAGCTGGGTCAATTTACCGTTTTACCCCTGAAGTTACTTCTTGTTTCTTATGTCTCACTGATCCTCTAATGAACAATTGGTTTGTGGTCCAACCAGTAAACCGAATCCCTCTCAGGCCAATGAGAAGGTGGGACCCCTTGTTCAAGACTTGGAGTCAGTACTTAAGGAAACTACCTCTCTTACCCCTAAAATGGGAGGCCTATTGAGTCGGCGAACTTGAGCCACTCTCACCCATGCAAATCTAAGGATAATTTCGAATAAACAGGAGTTCATGGTTAGCTCAGGATTAAGATCGAGTTACCTAGGTCATCGAATGAAAAGAAAATCAGTCTCAACAGTAAACGACATTATAAAGTGAGAGTGATTTTCTTCATGGTCCGATCTTATGCAATACTCATTGCATAGGACGCCCCCACTCACATGTCTCCACATGTACAATTTTAGTGATCACATTGTTTATATCATATACAAAAGTGAGCCACATCCATAGTGTCCCCAGAATAAGGTATTCAGCCTTATCCTTATACTATAGATCATTTTGACTATATACTTGAACTTAATCAACTTTTATGTCTCTACATATAGTTCAAGTAATCATACTATAGCCAGAGTGTTCTTAGTTTATTGAATTTAGATTAATGATCGTATAGTTCACTTTATTCAATAACAATCTTTACTGAATAAATAACAATAATAACTTTATTGAAAATAGAATATGTTTTTGTTTACAAACTATGAGTTTTAGGACATAAAACCTAACATAAATGATTTACACTATGATGACGGTAGCGACACTAGGTAAGTGTTGGAGTTTTTGACTTGGTCTGCAACGTTATAGCTAATTAATTGTAGGAGTTGATTTGTTTTTTTATTATGTTTGTTTGTTATTCTGTTTTGTAAGATTTTATAAAAGTCGTATTATCCTTCCATAAACATAATTAGTTCCCTTTATTTGGTATCAGAGCCAGTAAGGACGTGAAAAAGAAATACACAAAAATTGAGTGTTTGAGAGGAAAAACACTGAATAAATGGCAAGTGATTATGGAAGCTTTGTTACGCCATGTGTTCCTAAATTCGATGGAGACTACGAGCATTGGAGTTTGGTCATGGAAAATCTCTTGCGTTCCAAGGAATATTGGAGTGTTATTCAATCTGGTTTCGATGAATCAAAAGGAAACGAAGCACTAAGCGCAACCCAGCAAAAGGAAATCGATGAAGTAAGGCTCAAAGATCTCAAAAAAAAGAATTATCTCTTTCAATCCATTGATAAGAGTATTCTGAAAGCTATCATTCAAAAGGATACTGCCAAGCAATTGTGGGATTCAATGAAACTCAAGTATTAAGGAAATGCTAGAGTGAAGCGAGCCCAACTACAACGACTTTGCAGAACATTCGAAACCTTGGAGATGAAAGCAGGAGAAGGTATTTTTGAGTATTTTACAAGAGTTATGTCTACTGCTAATGACATGAGGAATTGCGGAGAAGATATACCGAATATCAAAATTGTTGAGAAAATACTTCGAAGTCTCACCGATAAACTCAACTTCATAGTATGCTCAATTGAAGAATCCAAGGACATTGACCAATTAATAGTAGATGAATTACAGGCATCTTTGCTTGTACATGAACAAAAGATGATGGATAAAAGGAGTGAAGAGCAGGTTTTGCAGGTGGAGAATGTACCAAGATATGGACAAGGAAGAGGCAGAGGGACATTTCAGAGAGAAAGAGGTTACTCTAGAGGGCGGGAAAGAGGTAGATCTTTTGTGAACCTGTCAGCCATCAACTATTTTCAATGTGGAAAGCAAGAACATTACCAATTTGAATGTCCGGGCTTAGAAAAAGAGGCTATCAATTATGCTGAATTTGACAAGGAGGAAGAACGACTATTGATGGCGTACACAAAGGAAAGTAAAGTTGAAAGAGAAGTCATTTGGTTTCTCGATTCCAGGTGCTCAAATCATATGACATGGGACAAAACATGGTTCGTTGAGCTTGACGAAAGTTTCAAACACACTGTCAGGTTGGGAAATAGCTCAAAATTGGCAGTTGAAGGAAGAGGTAGTGTCAGATTCAAAGTTAAAGGTATCACAAAAACCGTGACAAATGTCTACTATGTCCTCAATCTCACCAACAATTTGCTAAGCATAGGGCAGCTACAGGAGAAGCGCTTGGTGATTTTAATCAAAGAAGAAACCTGCAGAATCTATCATCAACAAAGAGGCCAAAGAGGCCTGATAATGAACACAAAAATGACGGCGAATCGCATGTTCTCAGTTCATGCAAAGATGAAGTCATTGGTTGACCAATGTTTGAAAATCCAAGATGAAGACTTGGAGGCTTTGTGGCACAAGAGGTATGAACATTTGAATAGTAAATCTATTCAAATCATGCCGCAAAAACAAATTTTGAAAGAATTACCCAAATTAAAGGAAGTTGTCAAAGTTTTCACAGAATGCAATGTTGGGAAGCAACAACGGAAAAAATTTCCAAAGAAAAGCAAATGGAGAGCATCAAACAAACTGGAATTGATTAATGGAGATTTTTGTGGACCATCACTCCAACCTCTCACAGTGGTAAAAGGTACCTATTGGTACTTGTAGAGGATTTTTCTCGCAAGACATGGATTTATTTTCTTGCAGATAAAACATTCAAAATCTTCAAAAAATTTGTTGAAAATGAAGCAAAAACAGTCATACGTGGACTCAGAATTGACCAGGAAGGAGAATTTACATCAAATGAATTCAAAAAATTCTACAAAGATAATAGGATCAAGCAACAACTAACAGTTGCTTACACTCCCCAGCAAAACGGAGTTGCAGAAAGAAGGAACTGAACCATCATGAACATGGTACGGTGTCTTTTATCTAAGAAAGAGATGCCGAAGAAGTTGTGGCCGGAAGCAGCTAGATGGACAGCTCATGTTCTGAATCGCAGTTACACAAAGGCAGTCAAGGACATGGTTCCTGAGGAGAAGTGGTCGGGCATAAAACTAAATGTGGAATACTTCAGAGTTTTTGGTTCATTTGCACATGTTCATATTCCCGAACAGAAGAGAACCAAACTTGATGGTAGAAGTCTCAAATGCTTCTTACTTGGAGTTTGTGATAAATCTAAGGCCTATCGCCTATATGATCCAGCAACAAAGAAGATAATTGTGGCAAGAATGTCATATTTGAAGAAGGTGCAAAATGAGACTGGAATTCAAGTACAAAAAATGTAGAGCAAGATGTGTTGGCTTGGGGAGATGATGATAATATTGTTGCAGAAGAATCGGAAGGAGGAGAGACTGATGGAGAAGGAGATTAAAATGAAGAAGCAAATGACAGGTTAGAAGAAATCCAAGAAATGGATGAATCTTCCCCAGAGTTGCCACAACAAACAAGACAAAGGAGAGAGCCAGTTTGGATGCGTGATTATGAAAAAGGTGAACACCTATTTGAAGAAGAAGAAGTCGAGGAGGGGTTTGCTTTTCACATTTCCAATGATGATCTTGTGAACTTTGAAGAAGCAGTAAAGGAAAAGAAGTGGCAGGAGGCTATGAAGCTTGAAATTCAAGTTATTGAAAGAAATCAGACATGGGAGCTTGTCACATTGCCGCATCAAGGAATACTCGCAGACAAATGTAAAGCGAGACTCGTCGCTAAGGGATACTCGCAAAAGGCTGGAGTAGATTACAATGAAGTTTATGAACCAATAGCTTGATGGGATATAATCAGAATTCTAGTGGCAGTAGCAACTCAACGTAGATGGTGCATCTATCAACTTGACGTCAAAAGTGCTTTTTTATACGGTGAATTAAATGAGGAGGTATATGTTGATCAGCCTGAAGGTTTTTTCAAAAAGGGAGAAGAGAACAAGGTTCATCGACTGAGAAAAGCTCTCTACAGTCTAAAACAAGCACCGAGGGCTTGATTCAACAAAATCGAGTTATTTTAAGAAGGAAGGATTTGAGAAAAGTAATTATGATCACACCTTGTTCTTGAAGAGAATTGAAAGAAAATTGTCGTTGGTTTGCCTGTACTTTGATGATTTGATTTACACAGGAGATGATGAGAATATGTGCAAAAGTTTAGTTATCAATGCAACAAGAGTTTGAGATGACAGACTTAAGGAAAATGAAGTTCTTTCTTGGAGTTGAAGCTTATCAAAACAAAGGAGGAATTCATTTGTGCCAAAAGAAGTATGCTAAGGAAGTATTGGAAAGGTTCAATATGTCGAATTGTAATACTGTAAAGAATCCGATAGTCCCTGGCACCTTCTGGTCAAAATCAGGTAGCAAAAGTGTCGATGCAACATTGCACAAACAACTAGGATGCTTAATGTACCTTATGGAAACTTGTCTCGACTTAATATTTGTGGTTTGCTTGATTTCTCGTTATATGGCTGATCCCAAAGAAAAACATATGTTGATTGCTAAAAGGGTACTGAGGTATTTAAAAGACACATTAGATGTTGGAGTTTATTACAAATGGAGTAAGGATGTAAATCTTTTGGGATACACAAACAGTGATTATGCGCGAGATATTGACGACAGGAAGAGCACTTCAAGCTATGTATTCTTTTTAAATGGAGCAGCAATATGTTAGAGTTCGGAATTGTTACACTATCATCTACAGAAGCTGAATATGTAGCTGCCACTGCAAGTGCATGTCATGGTGTTTGGCTTAAGGGAATTCTGAAGGAGCTAGGTGTTCTAAGTAGCGAGTGCATCGATATCATGTATGACAGTAGTTCAGCAATCAAATTGTCTAAGAACCGAGTTATGCATCGAAGGACAAAACATATTGATGTCAGGTATCATTACTTGCGTAATTTGTCAACTAATGGGACTGTAAGGTTAGTGTTTTGCGGAATTGAAGATCAAGTGGAGACATAATGACTAAACCAATTAAGCTAGATCAATTTGTGAAATTCAGAGGCATGCTTGAAGTTTGACAACTTGAGTAAACTGATACTGTTTCAGCATACTTCAGTTTACGGGAGGAATTTGTTGGAGTTTCTGACTTGGTCTGCAATGTTATAGTTAATTAATAGGCCGTAGTTTTCTATTTGTTCTCAAATAGCTAATTTGTAGGAGTTGATTTGTTGCTTTTTATTCGGTTTGTTTGTTATTTTGTTTTGTAAAGCTTTATAAAAGCCGTAGTTATCCTTTAATAAAGATAATTAGTTCCCTTTAGTGAGTAGAAATCTAAGGTCATTATAGGATACTTCCCCGTTATGATTAGTAAGCACAAGTACACTATGATATTATGTGCCCTCCTTTCCATCCGAATTTTTCCTATTGCACGAGTGTGTGCTACTTAAAGGCCAGGTCCATGGGGTACATATATGAGCGTGTCTGGGGTCTCATGCGAGTGTGTGTGGGATGTGTGTAGAGGAGTATTGCACATCCAATTTGGACTCGGAGTGGAAAGTGAGATCAAGGTCACGATAATGATGAAATGATAGATCCCAATCATGATTACATATGATTATATTTTCTGACCCTAATAATGGAATTACTTGGCGAGTATTTCTTAAAATACTCAAACCAGGTGCTACTCTTATTTTCAAGGTAAATGTTAGACACTTTATATGGATGATGGTGTTGTTGTAACGGTCATGAAATCGAAATTAAGATAGTTGCATTTTTGTTTATGGTGTAACACTTCGATTAGATCAGAGTGATTTCATTACTTTAAGCTTAATGTTATTTCCTTTACATTTTTCTTTGATGTTTACTGATCTTTTAAATGAATTCCGTAAATTTTTAAGTCTATGACTTCATTTATTAAATGTCTTAAATGAATTTTTTCCGTGCATATATAGGCATGTCATGCATATACTAACATCTCTATTTTATTAAAAAAATATATGGTCATTACAATTCGTGCATACGTGAACCATACATAGAGTAAGACTCCTATGTACGGATGACGACTAGGTAGAAAAGAAAAGGTAAGATCCAAACATGAAAGCGGTTTTTCATGACAAACCCAATAATTCAAACAATCCTAGTGTGTGGATTTGCTCGAGCCCACCCAACCATACGTAAGGCCCAATTTGGCCGTGAGAAAGCTAAAGCATGGGCCAATGCCCTATGTTGGGAACCACGGTCACCTTCCATGTGTGCTCACTTCACTCCTACAATATGATCTGGTTATCTATTTATCTCAAAATATTTCTAAGAGTAAAAACTATCCTCATAGACCAACTTTCACGCGCATAAAAATGCTCCAAATGCATATTTAAAAAAATAAAAACGTGAAGCACGGAATAAACGTGAAGCACACGCCAACTAAGGGAAACATGTTTGAGATTAAAAAAGTAAAAAAATAAATAAAAAATGTGGCATATATTTAAAGAAAGAAGAAGAAGAAGAGTTTAGTAGGGTCCACCAATAGATGTGGCAAGCATATGATGATGACCTTTGTTGTTTGTGGCCTTACTAAAAAAATGAACAATTAAAGAAGTGAAATTTGTGGAAGGATAAAGAGAGAATAAGTAATAGGAGTTGGCCAATTTTGGTCCCTTTGGGTCTTTTTTTGAGTGAATACAAACAAATAGAAAGTCACCCTTTTTGCTTCTTACCTAGATGGAACTCGGTACGGCTCCTGACTGAACCTTCAAACATTCTTTTACGAGGTAACTAGGCTGGGTTGGCTGATCCGCTCCTTCACTCGCATATGAAATTCATTCGTTCTCTTTTCTTTAACTGTAACAGTAAACACTCAACTCAAGAAGATTCATTCGGTTTTTCCTACTGTCTTCTTTCACGTAACTCTTTTCTTTGATTCTTTCTCTTTTTCTCCTTATTCTTTTTTCTCGGTCAAAATGGGTATTTGTTTGGTTCTCTTTCACCTACTTGACACCCCTCTCTCTCTTTAGGTAGGAGCGCTTTATTTAAAAAACAAAGGTAGCACGTAACATGAGTATAGTGAAATACTCGATAATTAATCTCACAGTTGGAGTCAAGTAATGCAAACATACACATATATATGATGGGACATATCTTTTAAAAACAACATATTATGATCTTAGCTCTTTTCAGTTAGAGAAGGGTTAGATGCATGGTACTTCCCCACACACGGTTCATGCACGCGCACGTAAACTCACCAGGCAGGCCGCATACGTACCCTCTGGTTCTGGCTTCGTCGGACTAAACGCACTAGCATGTCGTCGGACACCATAGAGGGAAAGACCAGTATGTATGATATAATGACAAACATAAATATAGAAGGCAACCCTAAACCCAACGATCCAAGCTCTTAATGAAACAAGGAACTCTGAATCAAAGAAATTAATACGTCCATATACAAAATTCGAATCAACAAAGAGAAAAAGCTATAATTGATAAAAAAAGATAGAGCAAGATTTGGAACCTTGTTCTAAATTTAGTCTCTCCATTGTAGAATTTATTTAAGGCTACTCCATTGTAGAACTTAATTAAGGTTCTAAATTTAGTCACTCCATTGTAGAACGGCACTCTCTCGTAGAACTTAATTAAGGCTTGATTGAATGGCTCGAATGCAATCTACACAAGAATTGATTGAAACTTAGAAATGACAAAGATGATGCTTATATTTATAAGGGAAAACGTCTCAACTTGAGGGATCAATTT